TAAGGTAAGGTAAGGTAAGTAGTAAGTAAGTAAGTAGTAGTAGTAAGTAGTAGTAGTAGTAGACGTAGAGTAGAGAGTAGAGAGAGAGAGAGAGAGAGAGAGAGAGAGAGAGAGAGAGAGAGAGATTTTAAGGAAAATTACAGGGTTCAGTTGATTATGTCAGAAGTTTAAACACGCAAAAGTGGTAAGCGAGAGAGGCTCTCTACGCCATAAGCTTCAAAACAACGTATATTCCCATAAAATAAAGGAAAGTTCAAAAAACCAGGGTCCATTCCCCTCTTTTGCAATTGTCCTCCCTTTTGGCGGGTATTGCCTTTAGCATTTCCTTTAGAATTTTGAATTGCAGAGCCGCAAAGGGCTTCACAACGGTTTCACAAAGTTGCAGAGCAACGCAAAGAATACCCATTGCTCAAGAATTGCAAGGTGGAAAAACCGCTCACCACCCACCATTCTTTCAGAAAAGAGCTTTGAAATCCTCGGGGAGAAAACCCAAGTTTTATTTTTGAAGCTAACCATGAAAAATGACCAGGTATAATAAGGATTCTTTTCTTGCATGCATTCTATCTCTAAATGTTGGTTCTTTCCTCTTTCTCTCTCTTATTCTCGATTTTTTTTAATGAATGTTCTTTGGTCTATGAATGAAACTTTTGTGGACCCATTTCCAGCATGGAAATTCTTCCTTGAAGGGGCATGGCTTGTTGAGAAGGAAAGCAAATCCAATATGTGAACACAAAGACAAGATGCGAGATTTGAAGCTTCTTCTCCCCTATAAATGGCTAACCATTACCGCAAATCAAAGGCAACGAACCGGAGTTTCTCCTTGTTTCGAATTCGCAAATTGTGTTTGCAAAAACTCCCTTTTTTGTTGTTGCTAGGAACGGTATTAAAATGGCGTCTGCTTCGAGCTTCAAAAGAGCAGATAGCATCACAGAAACCTTACCAGAAGTTCTCAGGCAGAGCAGATATCAGATGAAGAGGTGTTTTGCCAGGTGCCCAATTCATCCTTCTCTCTCGGTCTCTCTAGATTTTTGCTTTGAATTGATTTCATTTGCTTGCTATATAATAGCTCTCTTTTTATATGTTTCTCTCTCTAGATTGTAGCTTTGAATTGTTTTTTTGCTCATTCTGTATTATCGGTCTGTTTGTTTCTATATCCAGATTGCCGATTTCAATTGGTTTTTTGCTCATTCTGTACAGTGGGTCCCCTCGTTTCTCTCTAGATTTTCATTTTGAATTGGTTACTTGCTCTTTCTGTAAAGTGGGTCTCCTTTGTTTCTGTCTTTAGATTGACATTTAGAATTGGTTATCAGCTTGTTATGTGCGATTTTGATTCCTTTCTCTGTAATCTGTTTCTTCAAAGATTATAGCTTTGCATTGGTTATCAGCATATTTTTGTGCAATGAGTTTTACTGTTAGCTCCGTTACAGGTATGTTAAGGGTGGAAAAAGGGTCTTGAAAAAGAAGGATTTATTGGAGGAAATGGAAAAAGCAATAGAGGACAAGGTTGAAAGGTCCAAGCTCATGGAGGGTCTATATGGTTACATCATTAGCTGCACTCAGGTGAATCTCTTCATGGGCTTCTCATTTCTCATCATAAACAAATGGAATCTCACATGAACTAATCCCTCTCTCTCCCCACAGGAAGCATAAACAAATTGAATCTCACATGAACTAATCTCTCTCTCTCTCCCCACAGGAAGCAGCTTGTGTTCCGCCATATATCGGGTTTGCAGTGAGACCCAACCCTGGAATATGGGAGCATGTAAAAATACATGCTGAAGATCTTTCCATGGAAGGAATTACACCTTCAGAGTACCTGAAACTCAAAGAAACCATATCTGATGAGAAATGGTGAGTGAATTTCCCTTAAATTGATTGTATTCAGATTTCAAACGACCTTTATCCAATTTATGACTTTTAAAAGTTGAATGTAGCTTCTCCTCTCTCTCACTCTCAAAAATCAAGAGGATAATGTCAGATTTCTTTGGCGTAACTACAGGGCAAGTGATGCGAACGCACTGGAATTGGATTTTGGGGCTTTTGAGCTAAACACACCCAAACTCACTCTCCCTTCATCTATTGGCAATGGAATAAACTGCATCACTAGATACTTGGCAGCGAGACTCGGCCGTGATTCTGAGAGCATGAAACCATTGCTGGACTTTTTACTTTCTCATAACCACCGAGGCGATGTAAGAGAGAGAAAATACTAAATATTGATAAAAACAATAAGCTCTGCTGTGAAAGAGTGTGATAATTCTAGCTGTAATCTGTAGACATTTAAAACTAATTCAATGGCTTCCCCTTCTACTTGCAGAATCTTATGATCAATGAGAACCTCAATAGCATTCCCAAGCTGCAAACAGCATTGCTCTTGGCTGAAGTCCTTCTATCTGGAATGGCTGGTGACACACCATATTACAAGTTTGAGCAAAGGTCAACTTCTGTTTCAATTATGATCAATATGAATGTGTGTGTGTGTGTGTGTGTGTGAGAGAGAGAGAGATAACTCTTATGGGTTCACTTGTTGCAGGCTTCACGATTGGGGTTTCGAGAAAGGATGGGGAGACACAGCGGAGCGTGTTAAAGAGACAATGCATGCTCTATCAGAAGTCCTTCAAGCACCTGATCCTTCATTTCTTGAGAAGTTCTTGAGCAGGGTTCCATCTATCTTCAATGTCGTTGTTTTCTCACCTCATGGCTACTTTGGGCAAGCGAATGTTCTGGGCTTGCCAGACACTGGTGGTCAGGTAAATTTCTCCTTGTACGAAGTTTATAACGAAAATGGCCCTAGAAATTCATGAAATCTGATTATTGAGGATTGTATATGTTATATATCAGATCAAATTGCTCTGCTATGATAAGTGTACAGAAATGCGGATCTCTCCCAAACACTAAAAATAAGCACTCAACTGTCTCGAATTGCAGTCAAATACTACATGCCAGTATCATTTCAACAACTCGATGAACTGATAAGTACAACGATCTAATTTCTAAGAGAATACTTCAAATCAAACTTCATTAATCTTCGAGGCAATTACATGAACCAATCTAAGCAACTATCCTGTAAGAAAGGTTAACCTCATTGAGGAAATACGCGAGAAAACTGGAATCACATTCTCTAAAGCAAGTTGTCAGGTTCACTGTAGATGGGCATTAAGTTTGGAGAATTTCTTCTTGAGGAAGGATTTGGAAAATGACTTGAAGAAGCTCAACAACTTCGCATGATTTTTCTCTTTCCTTTCATAAATTTCACTTGGAAGAAGTGTTTTTTCTCTCGGATAAGATTTCACCCTAGTCATATTTTGTAGAAACCACCCTCTTAACTCTTCTCCGTATTGGATAGAGAAAATCAAATTTTAACTTCAAATTTAAATGACTATTGAAGGAAAATTGGACATGTCCGCAACGAGCCTAATAAGAAGTAGCTATGGGAGGCTAACCCAGTTTCCTTATCTATGAGAAAATGCCTATAGCTGGCCACAAATTTGATGATTTTTTCCTTCCCCGCAATTTTGCCAATTCACAGACTCGTACTCTAGTAAAAAAAGATGGGTAAATGTCGACCAAAGGAAGAAAGTTTAGTGAGAAAACTAACATATATGATCCTTTTACTAGATTGTTTATATACTGGATCAAGTGAAAGCCCTTGAGGAGGAATTGTTGCAAAGAAACAAACAGCAAGGATTGGCGGTAAAACCTCAAATCCTTGTGGTAAGTAAGTTCACTTGTCGTTTTTTCTTTCTTTTATCACCATTTGAGAGTATTTAAGTCAAATTTCTGATGGCTTTCTGAAGGTCACTCGACTCATTCATGAAGCCATGGGGACAAAATGCAACCAAGAATGGGAGCCCATACTCAATACCGAGCACTGTTACATTCTGAGAGTACCATTTAGAACAGAGAGGGGAGTTTTACGCCAATGGGTTTCACGATTTGATGTATACCCTTACCTCGAGAGGTTTGCTCAGGTATGTAATTTGAAAAGTCTGCGTGTGTGTGTGTGCATATGTACAATACTAATATTGAAAGCCTTGTCCACCAAAATGTAGGATTCTACGGTGGAGATCCTCAAGCATTTAGATGGGAAACCTGACTTGATCATCGGAAACTACACAGATGGGAACACTGTTGCATCCCTAGTGGCAACAAAACTTGGTGTTACCCAGGTTCGACAACAAAATTCAATGCCTTGTAACTTAAATTATATCTTTGTTACTTAATCAAACATAGTTTATTTCTTCAAAACTCACTTGCAATTTATAACAGTTCACTTCCTGATATCTTTATATGGAATCATTCACACAAACAGATATATACATTACTATACAGTAGTCTTCTTTCTAAGAAAACTACCAATTTTTCTATAACATTTCTTTTTACATGCATGCATGCCTATATAAATACATGCGAACATACATTCATGCACTGTGTCAATGTCTATACATATTTTGTGCTTTCAACTGTAAGTAATTACTCAACTGGTGGATTGTTTTCTTCAGGGTACTATTGCTCATGCCTTGGAGAAGACCAAGTATGAAGACTCCGACATCAAATGGAAGCAACTGGAACCCAAGTATCATTTCTCTTGCCAGTTTACAGCTGACTTATTTGCCATGAACGCTACTGATTTCATCATCACAAGCACATATCAGGAAATAGCAGGAGGGTAAGCATCTGATTGTTTCCAATTTAATATTCCCATGAACACATCCCAGTTATGAAAGAGAAGGATCCAGATGCTCAATGGAAGAAAAAAAAATGCTCCGTTGAGATCATTGTGCAATAAAATGATGGATGGAGATGGAGAGAGAGAGTGAGACCCACCAGAGTGAAAATGTCCCTAATGGTGGTTCACGTCCTCCCTCGTCAATATCCATTTTTTAGGACAATTGGACTAGGGTTTTACGTATCCATTATATTAATTTGTACTTTCTAATGCTCAAATTGGTTTTATTTTGTGGTAAAGAAACTTTTATGTTCCTTCAAATGCTCAAATTGGTTTTGTTTTGTGATCACGTAACTTCTATGTAATAGCAAGGATAGACAAGGGCAATATGAAGCTCATGCTGCTTTTACTATGCCTGGCCTACACCGAGTTGTTTCTGGCATCGATGTCTTTGACCCCAAGTTCAACATTGTGTCACCTGGCGCTGATATGTCGATTTATTTCCCCCATACCCAGAAACAAAAACGCCTTACTTCTTTACATCCTGTAATAGAGGAGCTCCTCTACAGCAAAGAAGATAACAAGGACCACATGTGAGTCTCTCACGTTCTCTATAGAATTTAGGTTTTATACTATAATTATATAACAAGGAAAAGATGTTAGTGTTGCACACTCTCAATGTAGAATCAAAAGTTTTCTTCAAAATATAACAGGGAGGATTTGATAGTGAAAGTACATTGGACTGTATTTTTTTTTTTTTGGGTGGGTGAGCTGGGATGCAAAGACCATAAAGCAACAATCATAGGTCCTAACTACAAAGTTAAGAGGCAAAGATTCTCTCTCTTTCCCTCTCTAAATCAGTGTTTTTTCATCCTAAAGCACTACTTTTCATATCACTACTCCAAAATTTTCTGAAAACTGTCCTTCCATTCAATCTTTTGTGATGTAAAATAGAAGCCACAATAATCGATGCTAACATCTTAAATATGTGCAACAACAGAGGATTTCTTGCAGATAGAAAGAAACCCATAATCTTCACCATGGCAAGGCTTGACATAGTCAAGAATGTAACGGGTTTAACTGAGTGGTATGCGAAGAATGAGAGGCTCAGGAAACTGGTCAATCTTGTTGTGGTTGGTGGTTTCTTTGATGCCACAAAATCGAAGGATAGGGAAGAGATGAGTGAGATTAAGAAGATGCATTCACTAATGGAGAAGTACCAGTTGAAGGGTCAGTTTAGGTGGATTGCAGCTCAAACTGATAGGGTTCGGAACAGTGAATTATATCGTTGCATTGCTGATACAAAGGGAGCTTTTGTACAGGTACGATCTGCATACTGTATTGCATTTACTAGTCTTGATCATGTCTAGCTTTGCTCCCTACAATCCTTTTTCTCCTATTATCTAGGGATGCAATCAAATTATCTTCATTCGTTGTGTTTCTTTCTCAAGATCTGTGGCAATCAACTATTTGTCTCATTTTTTAAGTTTGTTTCCTTCATTATTTCTCAGCCTGCTCTCTATGAAGCATTTGGGCTCACAGTTGTGGAGGCGATGACATCTGGGCTGCCCACCTTTGCGACCAATCAAGGAGGCCCAGCGGAGATAATTGTAGATGGCGTCTCGGGCTTCCTTATTGATCCTAATAATGGCAATGAATCGAGCAACAAACTTGTAGATTTCTTTGAGAAATGTAATGCAGACCCCGAGCACTGGAATAAGTTCTCCACTGCAGGGCTTCAACGCATTTATGAATGGTAAGTTAAAAAAAGCCCAACTATCCATTTGCAAGAAAGCAATGATTTGAACTATAAAAAAAGAAACCAAATAATTTTTTGGCAGTTTCAATTGATGGAACTTCTGACAATATTCTTTATTATATCTTATAAATAGTGCAAAGGAGCTTAGAATTTTCAATTATGGGTCATTTTCTTTTTGTTTCCTTTTTTGCAGTTATACTTGGAAGATTTATGCCACTAAGCTTGTGAACATGGGAGCAATTTATGGTTTCTACAAGCAATTAAATAAGGAACAGAGACAGGCCAAATTGAGATATTTGCAGATGCTGTTCAATTTGCAGTTTAGAAATATGGTGAGTTGAGAATTTCAAAATGATACAGGGAACTAAGAGTACCAATATCAGGAAAAACTGATATCCTAATGCTTGTAGGTCTTGAATATTTAATATTCATGCCTTCCTAGGGAAATAGCTATTATTTCTGAACATTTAATTTTGACTGTTTATGACAAAAGAGAAATCTGGAGTCTCGTATTTTAGTTCTGAATTTTATATCTTGGTTTTGAATTGTTCATATTTGATCTAAGTTGTGTTTGTTACCTTTAACTTCTGTTTTTTACTTTGAATTTGGGTTATAGGCAAGTAAAGTAGCAATACCAAGTGATGTTGAAGTGAAGAAACCTGAAGCTGGACCAATAGTAGTAGCCCCTCAACCAACTCGGTAAGTGTTACCATTTATGGCAAGGTCACCTTTTATACTAACACAGTATCGCACGATTTTTCTTTTGGCTGAGTCAAATTTCTTGGCCAAAGTTCAACCATAGTTAGGGCTGAAAATTCTACCATGTTTGTGGCTGAAATCGTACAATTTGACTTTACATAGGGAATTTACCAACATATTACCATTGGGGTACGTCCTACCAAATGGTCGATACTTGTTTTTGAAAGAGGGATAACCACAAATATACCTGTTTGCACAATGTCTCAATTCTTCAAAGTTCTAGGTGGTGTTTTAAAACCTGGTAGTCATGATTGGGAATTGCCAATCCGGACCAGGAATCGGCCCAGACTGACCTGGTTCCTTGTAGGAATGGGAAATGGTCTAGTTCCTTTGGACTCACCTGGTTCCGTCTGGGCGTTTGCAACTTGTCATAGTAGCATCCCCCTTATAAAATGGTTTTTATTTGTATCTTTCTTGCCAGGCACTTTCTCAGACACAATAAAGGGATCGGCTTTATGGCTTACATTGATGCTTGATATATTATTAGCTAGAAACAAGGGTTTCATTTAAATGAAGAGGGATGTTTGGGGGTCATATGAAAGTTTACAAATTGGTGTTTGTGTGGGTCTAGTGAAGTTCCTTGGAAACACAGAGACATGTTATAGACAAAAATTCAGAAATTTTGTTTGCGATGTTCGAAATTTGGTTTTTGATCATAATGGAGAATCATGGTTGGAACTAATAGTGCACTGATTTCCTTTATGACAGCAGAAGAACGGAATCGAAGGTGCAAAGGTGAGAGAACCGACAATCTGGCCTCCAAAGTTTGGAACATATCTCATGACTATTCAGTGACTGAAGTATTTGGGTTTTACAGGATTCTCACGACATGCTTTACTAAGAAGCCTCGCACTCAGAGTTGATCCCATTGATGACTGGGATTTGCGTAACTAAATTTCACACATTTGTTTGGACTGAGATGACGGTTTTCTTCCATTTGATTTGATTTTTTTTTTCTCCAAATTGTTTGTGATCTATTTGTACTTGTGATATCAAAATAAACAAAGAAATATGTTTGTCTATGTAAATTTGGGTTCAATGTTTTGTGCACATATAAAAGTTCTAAAAGAAAAAATATCTAACCAAGGAGAAGGGCAAGGGACCAGAGCATGGACAATGTTTGTTAAGAAACCACGCACACATTGATCAAACTCTGTGTAGAAGTCAGATGATGGAGATGTTTACAGTATGGACATGATCGGAAACTGCAGGAATCACTTGGGTCCAAATTAACTCCATGATCCTTTTCTTTATAAACTGACAGTGGATGCTCTGCCTGTGCCCTTTTCAGCTCACATGTCGTGCATATGCTATGTACTCCCAAGAAAATCGACATTCACTTACAATATCATTTCGACATTAGCAAGCATAGTTAATGGCTCATGGACAACCCATGTAATGTAATGAAAAGCTGTATAGTTTGAGAGAGAGACAATAACATTCCAAAAATTAGGAATTCGACTTGAGCTTTAGTGGTTAGAAGCAGACATTTAGCATGGCTACATGTCAAGTTCAATTCCTACCACTGAACTATGCCATAAATAACATTCCAAAAATTGTAACCAAAAGGTACAATAGGATGAGAGAGAGAGAGCCAGAATGGAGGTTAATGGAATTGTCATAATTTGAGAGCGAAAGATTACACAGATAGGTATAATGGAGTTCTTGTTGGCAAGGATTACCACCACCATCAAATACAAATGCATGGCAGATTAATGTAAGAGTTCGAGCAAATGGCATTTTCATCTGCGATTAGCTTTCCTCTCTGAGCTCTTAGCTTTTGATGAACATGATTCATACCTTTAAATCTCTAATAGAGGAACCAGTCATAGCAGAACTGTTTTTCTTGCACTTTTATCTGTGTTTCTCTCTTCTCTTCTACCTGACATTCAGACAAATACATACATGTACAACCATGGTTAGCATTTGCCTTCACTCTCTAGCTCCTGGTTCTCTTGCATTCTCTACCCACTTAATATTAGTTCTTTTTTGCATTTTCTCTCCTAATAATGGTTGGTTCTTTGATTCATTTTCTACCCCTAAATGTTATGTTCTTGAGCTTAACATGTTTCTATGGTGTGTGCTAGGCAAACATTTCCTCTTAACACTGGTTTTCTCTCTTTGAACTGGTCAGTTTTTTGGTATCTACATGTGTAAGAGGTTGTTTTATTCTTCGCAACTATATTAACTGTTATTAATAATGTCTATGAATCCAGTATTCGAATTCAGAGCACTACAATACCATGACGAGAGAGACTAAAAGATATAATTCAAGATGAACCTCCTCACTTTATAATAGACCTTTTGATAATATGAAAATTTATCGAAGTACACCTAACTATTCAACTATTTAATAAACATTGAAAAATTTACATAAATGTCCCTTATATTCTGCACTCAATTTAAAATTTCTCTCAATATTGTATATTTTACGCTCATGTTTTACTTTTTTTAGAGCATGTATCATATTTTAGTTTTAACTGTTTTCCTATACATTGGATTAAGCTCAAATCTACGATATCCAAACTTCTCACTATCATGCATGAGAAATAATATAAGAATAAAAATTTCATATTAAAAATGACGGCATAACCAATATACCCCTAAATTTTGTACAAATATTTTGGTCATGTTATTTTTATTTAGTTACTTTTTATATTTTTTGATGGATACATGATGATGCCAAATATGGACATAGAAAATTTACGCTCAAACCCATGTATAATAAAAAATAAAAAATAAAATTGAAATACTATACACTCTTAAAAAATGGACATGAAAATAAAATAGAAAATATTAGGGACTTTTTTTTAAATTTAAAAAATAAATGGCATCATCATCATCATTATAGCCTTTTCCCAAAGAGATATTTACACAAATTCCTTTTTTAACATTTTACACCTTTTCAACTATTCCAAACTTGTGTTTGTGGTATTTTCGAAACTAAATCAAAAGAAGTTTATTTTTTCAAATTATCTACTATTGATAATATGGGAATCGATGAAAACTAATTCCAGTGGCTTATATACTATTGACAGCATAACAGAGTAACTGCAATGTGGGATTTCATAATTTTGGACTGAATAGAAAGGTAATATTATTGCATAACGATAGATCATAAAACATATGCATCTTCCATTCACTTGTGAACATGGTGACTCGATCATGGAAATAATCAATGATGGATTATGAATTTTCAATTGGGTGCCGTTTACTCAAGGCATAAATCCTAAAAAACCAATGGCTCTCCAAACCCTTATGAAAGATGTAGTTCCAGTGCCGAGCATAAGCTTGAAAATCTATTTCCAACCCTAATTATGAATTGGTACAAATTGAGCACATCTATAAACATTTGAAAATCTTGAAAATGAACAATCAAGATAATATGCTGCAAAAGACACTATTTTAAGACTTGAAATCGTTTTTTTCTCATATCCATATATCTCTATCCATATTTGTTATGGTTCCCCTTCAAATAACAAGCTTGTATTTCTTTCTCTCGTTTTGTAGTGTGATTTCTTTAGCAAATTAAACCTCCTTATATATTGCTCTTTTTATGAAGTCCTACCAAAGGACTAAGTTTTACATTCAAACTAGAAGCCAGCTCTTCTCCTCCTATAAACTCCTCTCTAAAGATAGGAGTTCCACACTTAATATAGAAAGGAGCTCTTGCTTACCTTGATTCAAGAGACTGAGAAGAAAGTTGTTGAATCATGCCAGTACAATAGATAACACAATCACAAAGAGTTTTCTTATACATCAACCTCCATTGAACTGCCATCCTCCACCTTCTTAGTGATCTCTCTAACCTCCTTGACAACTTTCTCTCTCCTGATATAAAACAATCCTTCAAGCCATACATCTCAAGAAACTCCATCATCTCGCTTACCCAACCCAATCCTTGCTTTTCTTCAGTCGCCCATTTGAGAAAACTTCCATTCGAAGGTTTCTTGTCCTCTTCTTTGAAATATTTCAGCATATTTTCAATGTATTTCAGTAATAGACCATCTTCTTCTAGTGTGGTTGGGAGCTCCTGCAAGAGACCATGACATTTCTTCACAACCCAACTCATAGCTGATGTCTCGTTCTCTCTAGAAAGTTGAATTCCTGAGTAAGCAAGCCGTCCTGCTGCCTTTCGAAGCTTTTGGGGAGTGAAGAGCAAGCGCAGGGCACAAAGAGTTGAGAATGACGGTCTCCCATCCTGCTGAATGTGAAGAGAGTCATTTATCTGAACTGTGTCTTCTCCCACAAGAATAGGGATTTTGTCACCTGGGTTTCTGCTTAAAAGGAAGCCATAGTGCTCCAGAAGCTCTAGGTTGGTGTATGTGCCATAACACAAGAAGACCTGTGAGAATATTTTGGAAGGGGGGGGGGGTGGGAGAGAGAGAGACTCATTCATTTCATTATGAATAGCCATGCAACTGTATGTGCACTACATGAAAATGCAGGAACTAAGACAACATTGTAAATCTTGGAAAATAGCAAATGCGCGATGACATGAAACAAAAAAAAGACACAGGAATTTCATCACAAATGATGAACAATAGTTATTCTCAGCTGCTCCCTGCAACGGAAGAAATTTTGTCCATCTTAATTAAAGCAACATAAGTAAGCTCGTTTAAAGATCTTTTGGGATATTGTGGTTGTTTCCACAAATGTAACAGAAGGTTAACATTTTACTGATTTCTGATCCTAAAATGAATCATATCCCATATTAATGCCATTAAAAAACAAGATGAGAAAGGTAACAAACCACCAGAAGCAGTTAACAACCACATGAACTAAGGTTAACATTATCAAAAAAACAAAAAAAACCACATGAACTACAACTACCACATTCCATGAACATGCTTTTTTGAAACAAGACTTCACAGTAGAACTTTCCAGATGCAAGAATCAGATTCCAGCAATTTTTTGGGTGGTTCAGCTTAGTTTGCACGTGAGAGGTTCAGATCTTAGACCTCTCTCTCATACACTAGGCGCCAAACTACGACATCAAATGCCTACTGACAGATTCTTGTGAAATTCCCACCCAAGCAAAAATCCTAATCCACGAGCTAATGGTATATCATCACCATCATCATTCGAGCCTTATCCCAACTATTTGGGGTTGGCCACACGAATCCTGTTTCACCATTCCACTCTATCAAGGGCCATACCCTCAGTCAAACAATAAGTCACCATATATTTTTTCGCTACTTCCAACCATATCCTTTGGGGTGCTGCACACCGAGCACACATACCGGGTAGCTAAGCTACTCCTTTCTTCACACTCCGCCTTCTCCTTGTCCTTTTAAAGCCTTCCACTTGCACCAAATCACCCCTCCTAACCAGTGTTGTTTTAAGTCGACACTACACATGACTAGACCACCCAAGTCTACTTTCACCCATTTTATCACCTATTGGGGCTACGTAAGTCTAATTTCAGTTTATCCTCTCTCCTGTTATCCATCTATGTATCAATATATGTATATGGCAATCAGTACTTCCTAACTTTCCCATAGGTATGTCCTTGAGCCTCCAAGGATAGGAAATGAACTGGAGGACTTAACTGGCATTGTGATCCATATTGTCAAGTCTTTTACAATAACAAAATTTTCATGCTATCAACAACCACAAAAGCATAGACAAGCAAATAAGAGTGGAGAAAAATTATATCTCATGCACCATGATCAATTAGAAATATCAAAATTTTTTAACACATGGCTTTTGAAGCTTATCAAAAAGTAGAGAGTTGGGCCAGGTTGACTCCAATGGTATCCACCCAAATCAAAGCAACTACTTGAATGTGCGCTAAGCAGTACCATTGGAAATTCAAGCAAAATATGATGTATACCTGTTCTCCTCTTTTGTATCTTTTTCTTGCATAAAAGCAGTAAGCACCCACATCTTCCTCGAACCCACCATCGACTAGCCTTTGAAAGTTCTCACAACATTCTTCAGCATCGGAGTCCTCTCCAATGTTTATATCACTCCGCAAAGAGTTTTGATCCATAGACTGCAAAGGACACACTTTAGATAGTGCAGTAAATCAGATATGTATACAAAGCAATTCATTTACCTTCGTTTCCAGTTCACCAGAGATACATGCATCCATCTCAGGTGCATCATAATTGAAAAGGTCTCCAACAGGGCATAAGCACCCAGCATCATCCCAAGGTATATGCAATGTACGAGAGGATATCTTGCAAAATAAACAGAAAACATACACATGTTTAGATTATTTAGATCGACAACGAAGATAATGCCTATAAACTTAAGATATCGGGTTATGAGCCACTCACTCACAGTTGCAGAAGCCCATAGCCATGATTGAAAGCTCAAGAGTTGGGGCTTCAAATTGATCTCTTTCATAAGGCCTTGGGTTTCTTTCCACTCGAATTGGAGCTTGGAAATTGACTTTTTAGAAGCCGAGATAGCATCAGCCACCTATACATGCACTGCAAATTTTCAGTTTTCAACTTCTTTTTTTTTTTTTATGTTTATTTTTCTATGGTTTTTTATTGCTTAGCCCAGAATCCCAGATAAAGTCAACAAAGTTTGGAATGGTATCGAGTAACATAAAATTCATGAAATTTGACGTCATACATCTTTTGAATGTCAATGTTTATCAATATTCGTACCTGTCCCTAAGAATGCAATAATATGCTACTTATAATAAGAAAAAGAAAATAAAATTGGAATGAAACTGAACTTGCAAAGCTTGGATTTCAAACTGATTGAAGGTAGCCAGAATATCATAAGTCCGGGGTAACTGCACCAAATAAGGGTACCACCATGAACTGCTCCCTTTCCCCACTTCAGCCAGCAAATATACAGTTAACACCTATAAAATTACACTTGTTGCAGTAAGCCTCAGGGATAGTGTAACAGGAAAACTTCAATTATTATTAGAAAACAAAAGACGCAAGCCGAGTCCTTTTGGCCTTCTTTTTCACAAATTAAATCATGCCAATGGAACTTGTTCTGCAGTCTGGAGTTCTATATAACTGATCTCTTGAATGTCGACCGAGCAAGCAATCTCTTTCATTTTTCTTGACAATTAAATAAAGTTCTGACCATTTAGATTATTTGGCAACTTCAAATTGATCTATGATCTATTTTTTGGGGCTGGTAAATAGGGAAGCTGTTGAAAATGTCAGAATATCAAATTGATACGGTCATAAGGGTAGCAGATTACCAAGCCATATAAAAAAAAAAACCATTAAAGAGAGAGAACTCAAAAATCAATGAATGTAACTAAAAATGGAACCTTTCAGAGTTGAAGATAAATGAGTAAGTTCGACTTAAAATCCACCACTAAGTAGTAGACAAAGGGCTTACCTGAGTGGAGGTGAGATGAGGGTATCTTTGAAAACCAGGCGTTAACTTACCATCCTTCCTCAAACTCTCCCTGTTCATTAGAGCTTTTCTTGGAACTCTAAGAATGAGTTCACCACATCTCAGTTCTCTAGCTGCTGCCAAACCCCTTCTGCAACCAAAATCATCAAATGAAGTAAGGAAGAAGAAATTACAAACATTCATCATCTTAGTATCAACTTAAAAAAATATCTGTTTGACCAAAAGAGAAAACCCAATTAATTCTTCAGAAACATTGAAACAATAGTATTGGAAAATCCCAAAAAACATAAGTTCACAAATTGCAGAGACCCATTAAATCGCATGGCATTCAAAATGAATTACTTTAACACTCGTGTTGCAGAAAATGATAAAAAAGGGTGACAAGTAACACCTACAATGGAAATGAATTAAATGGATAAACCCCATGAAATCTATCTCAAATATAAAATTGGTTGAAATGTGAAGAAGAGATCTCAATTGAATTGAGTAAAACTATGATTTTTTAGGGCTTACCCCCCTGCTTCAGGGAAGTTAGAGATAGAGAGAGAGTGACCCAAGCAAGAAATGGGGCTCGTGACAGAATGGGGAGAATCGGATATCCCGACTTCTGCACCCCATCTCAACAAAGCTTCAAGGCCTTTCTGGTCATCCATGGACAAATTCTTAGCATCCCAAATCTCTCTCTAGATTTTAGAGTTAGAAAAAGTTTATAAGACAGCAACCTTATAATGTAGAATTAAATATGCACCTCGAAAAACCATTAAAAAATGTTGTTTTAATGACAAAAAAAACCGTCTAATTGATCATCGGAAAAAAAAAAAGGAAAGAAAAAAACAGCAAGGCTCTAAACAATCAAGAGCCCACATCAAAAATTTCACTACAAGTTGTTGTTTGATGCCCAAATATACTCAAATTGATCATCTCAATATAAAAATACATGGATCTGAAAAATAAATAAATTTCAAAGTTTTGAAAATAGTGCATATTGTAATGTATTTTGGGACAGTCAATTTTTGAGTTTTTCAAGTTTTCATAGATCCGTTTGATTTACACTATTTTTTAAACTTAAAATTTTATAAGTAGATATGAAAATGTATTTTAAGTCTATTACGAAGATTTCGAGTATTGAAATCATACTTTTAAGCACTATTTGAAGGTGAGCTTTATTATAATTGTTTAGAACCTCGGCTCTATACAAACCCACCAAAAAAAAAAAAACAGATTTTGAGTCCTAGAAATTGTGCAACTCATTATCTAAACCTTCCATTTACAAGATTTTCATATGTTTATAGATATACTTGATTTTAACTATTTTTGAAGTTCAAAATTTTGTAATTAGATATGAAAATAAATTTTAATACTAAAAATAAATAATATGATTATAAAAGATTATATATGTTGAAATCATTTACCTTTAATACAAGGAGGTCGTCATTATCTATAACCATATGAAATCTAATAGCTTGGATGTGTTATAAAGTTCGATAAATTTTTTTTTGAACTTTAAGAGTGGTCAATAAAATAAATGCAGCATCTGATAGTCAAAATTACTTGTGCGTCGTGGCCATTAAGCCATTTAAATTAACCTTTTCCATAAATATCTAATAATTGATCGTCTATTTTTTCTCCATAGCATAATTAAATAGCAAGAAGTTTGCTCTTTTATTTAAGAGAAATTTATGTACATATCCCTCTAAAAAAAATTATTTATTTTAAAAAAGTGATTGTCTACAAAGAGACTATTTTTCTTTTATACGTTGAGGTCACAATTATCTCATAAATTTTAAAATAGGTGGTTGTTAGAGTATCATTGAGTAGACATAAAGTTCAAAAAAAAAATTATCAGACTTCGTGACTCGCTCCAAGCCATCCAATTTGACATATAATGAGTATGAATGATTGTGACCTCCATATACAACAGATAAATGGTCACTTAATAGACAATCCCATATAAAATTATCCTTACCTATCTACTTACGGATGAAGTTTTTGTAAGGCCTATGCTTTATGAAAACAAAATAAAGCATCACCTCAAATCCTCATATGGAAAGCACTTTCGGCAACATAAATCTCCATGATCGCTCTAAAATTAATTTCCAACACCAATAATGAAAATCAAAACTAAAAAAATGGTTCAGATCTCTTGGATATATTAAAAGTTATTTTTTAGAGTGAAATTGACGGTCTAAATAATTTGTTACAATATACAATTCTTTTAGAGCTTGAAATCCTAGATATATTTTTCACAACCATAATGTTAATGTAAGGAATTAGTTCATATAAGGTTGGGGTGCAGTTAGCATACGGATGCATCTGTAGCTGTAGAGGTAAGGTGCACCTTCAAAATTTATCATGGTATATAATTTTGATGTAAAATGTTATTAGGATTATCTCAAAATCTATTTTTATATATAATTATAAAATTTTAAATTTAAAAAATGGTTAAAATCAAGTAGATCTATAAACATATGAAAATATTGAAAATGGATGGTATAGATATTATATTGTAAAATGCACTATTTATGAGACTTAAAATCTTTTAATTTTTCATGGTCATACATCTTGATGTCGAGATGATTAAAGGGTTTTCAACATTAAAACTACCCTTTTCGATGGATTTTTGAGGTGCATATTTAGTTCTACATATAAGGTTACAACCTTATATAAACTTTTTCCATAAGGTTGAGGCCCCAAACAATCAAATTAAGGTGCACATCAAATTTTCACTAGAAGAAGTTGTTTCGATGTTGAAAAATCCTCAAATCTGATCATCTCGACCTTGAGATACATGGACGTAAAAAGGATTGCTTTAAATCTTGAAAATAGTGCATCTCGAAAGTTTTTTAAACTGTTAATTCAAAAATTTCAAGTGTTTATAGACCTATTTGATCTACATTATTTTTGAAGCTTTAAATTTTACAATTAAAGATGAACATAAATATTTATGTCATCGTAAGGATTTTATGTAGTGAAACGATATCTCTTTGATACTATTTAGGGCCTCAGCCTCGTAACCAGAGTAAAGGTTTTTTCGATGAGCCATGAGATGAGGCTTTACGTATATTTTATAGGGCTGCAGCCCTATCAAACCATCTTCCTCTACTTAAACGCCATCCGATAGTTCTTTATACGAGCTGCCTATTGTATTTCGGCAGCAAATAACAAGGCCTCTGAATCTAGAGGGAGAAAGAGTTTAGGCCAGTGAGGGAGGGAGAGTTTGGGAAGCTGACACCAGTGGTTTTAGAGAGAGAGAGGAAACGCATTGGAATTAGGTTTTGTCTGTTGCTTGGTGATGGATGTGCCTGGTTCTTCGAAGAAGATGATAGCAACACAGGAAGAGATGGCGGAGGCTAAGGTACCGATCCCCTACAGGGACCAGTGCGCTCACCTTCTCATTCCTCTCAACAATTGTAGAGTTGCGGAGTTCTATCTTCCATGGAAGTGTGAGAATGAGAGGCACACGTATGAGAAGTGTGAATACGAATTGGTAATGGAGCGAATGATGCAGATGCAGAAGATTAGAGAAGAAGAAAAGCTCAAGAAGAAGCAAACCCAAGGGATCCCTTTGATTCCTAAGACTGCAGACGCCTAAATTTCCCTTTTCATGGTTGGTACATGGCTTTCTAGGGTTTTGATTTTCATAGCATCTGTTGTTTTCACATCATTTTCTTCACCATCATTGGTATTATCACAATAGTTTTCTATTGTTTTTGGAGTTTTCTTTGATAATCTTTCATTGTTTAATGATCTCAGCAACTTCAAAAAATCCAACCTTTTAACAAAAGAATCAGTATAGTTCACTGAGGGATATGAAAGAATTGGCATAGTTCACTGAGGGATATGGATTACTTGGTTGTGCAAACTGTTTCTTTTTTGGGTAGTTAGAATTGGAATAGTTCACTGAGGGATATGGATTACTTGGTTGTGCAAACTGTTTCTTTTTTGGGTAGTTGTTGCATAAATTGTATGAATAGGCCTGGAATTTTTTGTTGGTGGAGATATAAGGGAAGTAGATTAGGATTGATTGCACATGCCTTTTCTCTTTTTCTTGTGACAAATTAACCCAATGTTGGTGAAATAAATTTTCCAATGTTTAGGTCTCTCTCATCCATAATCAGCGTTCCCTTTCAGTTATGAAAAGTGTTACTGAACGGCACAAATCTTAGTTCCGTGTTAAGACCCTTTCTTTCTAAGTACTGGAATGGACATTTTAGGAAGATCCAATTTTTTTCACCTGATATATTGAAGTAATTACAGTTTGTTTGGTTCTCTATGTCTTTTCCTCTATGGGGTTTGAGTGATTATTAATTGTAAAGCAAACTTTCATTGAACACTAAATGTGTTGAAGTCTCAAGCTTTTGATGGAAAAATTGTATATGTCTTCCCTTTTGCTGATATATGTGGCACATGTCAATGAAACTACTGCTATAAGCTGATAAGATTGGATTAAGAAAGCTGTGTAACTTCTGCTACTCTGGAGCTTTTTCTATCAAACTTTGGTTTGTGATAGGTTTTAACATTATGAGATAATTGAATCAATCATAATTGCATTAGATACAAGTACAATGCCTTCAATCAATGTATAGATTCAGCTTGCAATGCTTATTCTAATTTCTTTGGGATTATTTTGGATGCTACTTAATGTGGCTCACATGGTGAATGTTTGAATTTACTTATGAGTTATTGGACTCATCTTTTGAGTTGTTTTTTGCAATTCTAAAATGCTAACTTGTAGAGTGATGGGGTTTCTCTTTAAGTTTGCACATTGTATGGCATTTATGATTTATGAATGATAGTGGTCTTGACCACAAAATTCATCAAAATGGTTAAATGACACTTGAACTTTCAAAAGATAAAAATGTGTTATGATATTTGAAAGAAGGAAGAGAAAGATGAGACGTGGCATGTGAAGGAGTCGTAATGTCAAAGAATGCATTGAGAAGTACAATCCGAACTCTAGAATTGGATGTTATGTTTTTGTTCCCTTGCGAGCTATCTTGAACTTAAATGCAATGGAGTTAATAGGATAGTACAAGAATTCAGGGATTTAGCTAGGTGTTTTGGGATGAGGAACTGGCTCCTCTTCATCTTGCTTAGCTTACTTTATGTTGGCTGTCAGATTTGACGGTATTGGAGACGTCATGATCCATGGAAGGATAGGTCTGAAATAGCCAAAGGGCTACTCAAGAAAGCACCACTTTTTATGTCCGTAAGGACAACATGTTTTGGGATATTTCTTATGTACAAGAGCTCTAGGATGTAGACGGGTGATGTGTCTCCATGATAAGGATGAATATGTTTAGGCAATGTTTGAAAACCCGTATTAGCTAGGTGGATTGGCCATCCAGAAAGTCGGTCTGGATCGGTGGATCGGCCTGAATGGTTGCACAACCTTTAGAAAATTTTAAAAACGACTAAAAATTGTTATAAATATCGTTGTTGGGGTTTTCAAGAAAAATGAGGTAGTGTGATGAATATTCATTAATTTGCAAAAATACATGAATATTGAGATGCTGCTTCCTGTTTGAATTTCTGTATCACATCATAGAAAAAAGGAACATCTGATCATCATGGATATGAATACATGGTTCAAAATGGAGAATACAACAATAAAGATTCAACCTACTACTAGAATGTCAAACAAATCAAAGCTTGGATCTAGTAGAAGGCTCTTCAATGATCATTAAGAAGAAAATTCAATGAAAATGGTTGAAAATTCATATTAACTAACATCAAATATATTATCTAATATATCTCTAACATATAAAGACCTAATGAAAGTATTAAACTATTAATATATAATCTAATGTTTAAAGTTTTGATGGTACTATCTCTATATATATATTATCTAATGTACTGTAATTAGGATATGATCTAGGAAAATTTATGTACGGAGACTCTTTCTTGCCTTTTATTACGGTATGGGGCAATCATCATCACCATTAGAGCTTTATCCTAACCCACCATTCTGCTCTATCAAGGGCCATACCCTTAGTAAGACCATAAGTCGCCATATTTTTTCTCACTACTTCTATCCATGTCCTTTTGCCTCTTCCCTTTGCCCTTTTAGAGCCTTCTACTTGAACGAAATCGCACCTCCTAACTGGTGTTGTATTGGTCTACATTGCACAAAGCCCCCCCACCTAGGTCTACTTTCCCTCATCTTATTACCTGTTGTAGCCACACCTAATCCCTCTAATGTGTTTATTTCAAATTCTACCATTTCTTGTTTTGCCATACATCCACCTCAACATCCTCATCTTAGCTATACATTCTATGAGTATTTTGTTTCTTGACCCCTCAACTTTCCATCATATAAAGCAAAGTCGGTCTCGCAGTTGTCCTATAGAACTTCCCTTTCAACTTCATTGGTATGCAACAAGCACATAAAACTCTAGATGTACATCTCCACTTCGCCCACCTAGCTCTAATTTTATGTGTGGCATCTTCATCAATCTTTTCATTTTCTTGGATTACCGATCCAAAGTATCGAAAATACTCTCATTTAAGTATTTTTTGGCTATTGATCTTAACTATTTCATCGTTTCTACTCTTATTATTGCTGAAATTGCATTCCATATATTCTGTCTTAGGCCAACTAATTTTAAAGGGTGTGGTTTGTATAGAGCCTAGGCTCTAAACAATCAAATTAGAGCCTACCTTCAAATAGTGTCGAGAAATGCAGTTTCAATACTGGAAATCTTTGTGATAACCTTAAAATATATTTTCATCTTTATTTATAAAGTTTAAAGCTTAAAAAATAATGTAGATCGACATATCTATAAAAACTTGATAATCTTGAAAATTGACTGTCCAAAAATGCGTTACAAAATATACTATTTCCCAAACTTGAAATCCATTTTTTTCTTATTTCCATGCATCTTGATGTCGAGATGATCAATTTGAGGATATTTTGGCATCAAAACATCTTCTAATGAAAGTTTTGAGGTAGGCTCAAATTTGATTAATAAGAGCCTCGGCTCTATATAAACTTTTCCCAATTTTAAAATCTTTAGATTCTAGAGCATCCCTCCAACTTTGAGTGGACTTCGCTTCTAGTCTCATTGGTCCAAACTATGTCATCCACAAACAATATGCACTATAGCACCTCATCTTTTAGGTGCCTAGTTAACTCATCCATAATTAAAACAAAGAGATTTGGGCTCAACGCTGACCCTTGATGTAAGTTTATTGTCATGGAAAACTCACTTGTCTCTCTACTATTTGCACACTAGTTAGAGCTCCCTCGTACATATCTCTCACTATGTCAATATAGCATTTGGAGACTCCTTTCTTTTCCAACACCCACCAAATTAAATATCTAGGCACCATATTATAAGCTTTCTCTAAATCAATAAAGACTATATGAAAGTCTTTTTCCTTTTCCCTAGACTTCTCAATCAATTGCCTAAGTAGGAAAATGTCCTCAATTGTTGACCTCCTTGGCATAAAGCCGAATTAATTTTCGAATACACTCTTTTCAGGCCTTAGTCGCTGCTCAATCAATCCCTCCTATAGCTTCATAGTGTGGCTCATAAGTTTGATCCCTTGACAGTTCACTCAATTTTGTATGTCTCCTTTGTTCTTGTAAATAGTTATCACAATACTTTTTCTCTATTCGTCTGGCATTTGCTTTGTTCTCAACACTTTGTTGAACAACTTGGTTAGCCAACATATGCAAATCTCCCCCATGCACTTCTAAACCTCTATCAGGATGCTATCTAGCCCTAAAACCTTTCCTATCTTCATCCTCCACAAAGCGTCTTTCACTTCAGATATCCGAATCCTGCGCATGTCTTTGTGAACTTTACCCTCATTTATGCCAAAGGTTAGCGCTATGTTCCCATTGTTTTTATCATTTAAATATTTTTAAAATAAAGTCTACACCTTTCGTTGACCTCAGCATGGGACAATATTTGGCAAAAATTACGCCGAGAGCATCCCTTCATAATTGCCTCCCATCCGGTATTTCCAACACAAGCAGTTTGTTATACCAACACCAAACAACACCTTCTTTTAGCCTATTTTGTATTTTTAATGCTTGACATCCCACTTCCTTGGGTGTTCAACGTTTTGAATAAAAGAGAGGGTTGTGTTTTTGCTGAACCACCGACCCATTTGAATTTGTCGCATTTAAGCAGTCAAAACAAATTCATGAATGGTGGGCGCGATGTTGAACCTAGGTCACACCTGGCTGGCCATGTGGTTTGCAGATTGGTACTATTGAGAGAGAGAGAGAGAGAGAGAGAGAGAGATCAAAGACTCACAAAACAATGAGGAGAGAGAAAGGTAGGAATCAAGAATCAAGTCTAAATAAAATAAGATAGAGAGAGGGGCAAATCTATCTCATCTCATTGACATCACTTGTCAATGGTTTATTATTGCTGCTATAAAACGGGGATGACATGAGAGAAAGGGATCTCACCATGACACCATCTTTCCAACTTGAAGCTGAGCATTGGAAGAGAGAGAGAGAGATTTTGGAGAGAGACAGGAGTGGGAGGATATGTTCTTTCTCAATTGGCTTTTAATTCGTTTGTTGCGGACTTGCGGTTATATATATCCTCATCAAGGCTGCCTTCGAGCATGGCATGAAGCTCTATGTGT